AACCTTTAGATGCAGATTCAGTGCCAAGTTGGCACTCAAGAGCCTTAAAACACTTTTACTTACCGAGGCCAGGCTTTGGACTGAACCAGAGTATTTACTGAAAAGTCCTCCATTGGCATAGATACAAGACTGAGATCCTTTTTCCTTGGCAGAGCTCAGAGAAAGGGTCAAGTTTTGTCGACTGCTGGAACAACTAGAACCTAAGAGATACACTGATTTTATTTAAAGCTCCCACAAACTCAAAACATGGCATCTTTTGCAGTTCTAACAAGAACTGAATTGCATTTACTCTTCTCAATAAAGTCCAGTTTAGAAGCAAACAACAATTATTCTGTTATTTACAGTTCTGTGTGACAAATTACACATTAGAATAGTCACTATCCATTACAATAACTATGCATTGGAGCATAATTATTTTCCTATTCTGTAAAAGATTAGATCTGCATTTCTCAGTATTAAGAATGGCAAAACCCATTGTTAATATTCTATTCATAAAGAGAGTTTTAATCCAAATTCATGATTGAAACTTCCCCTTTGGGAACAACACCACCTTCTTTATAAGACAGTGTAATTTTGCTCCTAATTTGGCAAATGTAAAATGTAACAATTCAAATGTGCTCAGGTGTTCCATCCTGTGGAGATCATTAGAGGGATGAACACCTGTCCTATGAGGAAAGGCTCACAGTCCTTTTCTTCCTCTCCAAGAAAGCAACAAAAAACAAAATCCAACTTGGGATTTCCAAGCTGTACCTTTTTCAGAATCAGCTGCTTTGGTGCACTCCAATACCAGATGACTTGGTTCCCATGGGGGCACTTTCTTGTTTTTCTTTCCACGTCTTCTTTTAAAGTGATGGGCCAGAAAAATCACAGATATTGCACTCACTGCTGTTACTGTGAAAAGCTTCTTCAACCCAGGGGAAAGCTTTACCTGAAAATAAAAGGTGACTTTGTTGAGAATATGCACACAGAGAGACAGCTTGCAGCACCAAGAGCTATAAGGTATATTGCAAATCCACCAACTATGGGGTTCCAAGCAAATAACTTTCTAATAACCCTTTTTTTAAATTTCTTCTTAATGACAGGACGATGCTGGGCTTCAATTAATTCTCTAACAGCAAAAGAATACTGAGAAAGAACTCACCCCTCATAACTACCCAATTTCCTGCACTGTGAAAGATCCCAATGCCAACATCTGTGCAGTGTTTCAACTTGGGAAGAAGATGTATTTAAACCTATTTCTCTAAATAAAGAGTTTAAAAAAAAATTACACTTTATTTTGGGTATAGATCAATCACAGGTTTAGAGATGTTTAAATTAGCAAATAAGAACCACGTATACAAGTAACTTCAACTAGAAGCCACTAGTAAAGTTTATAACATAGAAAGTGCCATTTAACTGGAAACTACAGTCCACATTCCCAAAAATCTTTTGGAAACTCTTGCTGCTTGAGCAACAGAGTGCTGGGAGAAAGCCAGACCCACAGTCCTTGGGCCTAATATGGTGCTTCTGTAACGTGATTCCTCGTCCCAGAGACAGAGCTGGGCACACAGAGATTCAAACACCCATAAGTGGATTCTTTTTAAACTTCATAAATAAAGAGTGAAATGAAAGCTCTAAGGAGAGGAGAGTCAATAGTTGCACATAATGGAGTTGCACGTGGTATTTTAAAAGGATATGAATGTGCTGAAATGTAAAAGTGAAATCAGTCGTCTTGCAACGAGAATTTTAAAATATTCCAAAGACAGAAAAAATAGGAATATAAGCAGATGCACGACTGAGAATATCTCCTTCTGGTTTTATATGCAGCAAAAGAGAAGTATTTACAAGGAAATATGAAATTTTACATAGCTTTTGCTAATGAGTGTCCAACTGAATAAAAATAAAATACAGTCATATTAACAACATGGGTTTCAAAAGCCGAACATTTTTAGGACCTACTAATATTATTGGCATTTCTAATTATAAGCTTTTGTTTAGTTATCTTGTCAATAATTCAGCATACACAGAATGGAAAAAAAATCTACTGGACCATGTTTTCCACAGCCAACTAGAAACTCTTTTTCTCATCCTGTTTATTATGGCACCAGAGGACTATAACTAAAGCCTTAATATTTTCTTAAATAATTGTGACTTACTTCACTCTCTCTTTTATCACATATGCAGTTATAAGGAACTAATACATATGTTTTCTGATTCTCTACACAATTACAGCTCCTCCTCCCTGTCCTTGACATGCAAGTGCTCTACAGACACATCTTGTGATTCCCTGCAAAAAAAGAATATCAGCTTCACAACACTTCCAGCTTCTGTCAACCTGGAAACTGAGATCATAATTTACTTTTCACCAAGACTCTCTGTGTTTCTAGTGAAAACTTGCCTATAATAGCAATGAAAGAAAATACAACCAAATGACTCCACAGCCACCTGTAAACAGAAATACTGTGATTAATGGAGCCTTGAGATTTTCTTCGAGGAAAATCTTTCCAGAAGTAAAATGGAACAAAGAAAAACAGTATAAAGGACTGAAGGTATTTAAAAATCAGCCTGCTTTTAAAGAATCTTGTTTTAGTCATTGTGGCCCTTACTTAATCAAATAAAAGTGACTCAAAAACTAAAATAAGGGGTTATGTTTTACATTAATGAACTATCATTGAGATTAATTTGGCAAGCAGTGCTGGTAATCTAGAAAGTATTTCACACCACACTCGATACTATTACTCAAAATATAGTGACAGTTATGTTTAATTTTTGAATACCACAAAATTCTACAGGAAAAACAAAACTCAAGGATTTTGATATTTGGTGAGAATCATTGCATTGTTATAAAATGGAGCCATACAGACAGTGCAGGTAAAGCAGATGTATGATGATGTACTCAGCATTTATTAGCAGAAAAAGACAAAAAGCCCTGCTTCTTTTAGTTCAGTGTTTTGAACAAACTAAGCCCCAAGGTATTCTGTACAAATTTAATTCACATCAAGCCCACAAGAGCACGTACAATATTGCAATAAACGCCTCAATGTATATCAAAAGCAACAGTATTTAGATAATATATTTATTACCTGGTTAAGAGAATAATACCAAGAAAGGGGGAGATTAAACACCCGCAAAGCTGCCGTCTTCAGAGAAAACCGTGTCTCAGTAACACCTTCTTCTGACATGGCTCCTTCTCTCCCATAACCTCATTAAGCGAAACTATCTCGAAAACAATCACAGATGGTCTCTGGAACACTCTGTCAAACGAAGGAGACGCACCAAGTTATGCAATAGAAAGCCCAGGACAGTTTTTCTTCTGCAAGCTCGAATCTCTTACATAAAAGGTACATGACTTGTTTGATTGATGCTTTTGAGTACGGGCAAGACTTAACGAGGAGACAGCAAATAAATCTGCTGGCTCGGCTCAGGCCCCGTTCGGTCCAGCTGCTCTGGGCGGACCTGCAGACGTGACCAGGATCCACAGAGGGCTCGCTCACTATGTCCTCCAAATCACGCACGGCAACAGCCCTGTTTCTGAGACCACCGCTGTCGGAAGACCGTATTTGCCAGCCAAAAGAGTTAACAGATTCGAGAGCAGCCAGAAGTTCATCCCGCTCAGAGCTCCAGTTCCTTGGCAGGCACACACCGCGAGGAACAAACCCACAGCCTGACGCAATGCCCGGCCCGGCCGCCCCCCTCGCTCCCGGAGCTCGGGCACAACGCGAAGCCTCCGACCCGCGACTCCGGGGCCGCAACCGCGGCAGGGCGGGAGGGAGGCGATGGAAGCAGAGCCCAGCTCCGCCCGGCCCCGCCGAGCCCTCCCCAGCGCGGGCAGGCGGCGGGCACAGCCGGGGCGCCCTCACGCCCCTCAGCCCCGGCCGAGGCGGGCGCGCCTCTCCCCGCGTCCCTACAGCCGCCGCCCCGGGTTACCTGCCCGGCGCCGCGCCCGCGGGCAGCTCCCTCCGCTCCCGCCCCGGCGCTGCCCGGGGACGGCCGGGATCCGCTTCCGGCACAGCGAGCAGCAGCCAGGCGGGCGGAGCCGCCGCCGCGTAAAGACAGCCCCGTGCCGTCAGGAGCCCGCAGCCGCCATCTTTACGCCGGGCAGGTTCCCGCCGCGCTGCAGGCGGGCAGGGGCGGGAGGGAGCCTGGCGCCGCCATCTTTGTGCGGGGCAGCGCTCACGCAGGGCGGGCGCAGGCGCTCGGCGGCGCCATCTTTGATCGGGGCGCGACCCCCGCAGCCGCGCCCACCCGCGCGTGTGTGTGTGTCTGTGAGGGGCGGCCCCGGAGGAGCCGCGGCCCGGGCGCGCCCTGCTCTGCCTGCAGTGCCCTGCCTTGCCTTGCCTTGCCCTGCCTGCACTGCCTTGCCTTGCCTTGCCTTGCCTTGCCTTGCCCTGCACCGCCCCCGCACTGCCGCGGCACCGCCGCCGGCCCCGCAGGCAGGGGTGAGCCCTCGGGGCCCGGCTGCGCTCCGGGCGCGGCGCGTCCTCCCGGCTGAGCTGCGGTAAGAGGGGAACGGCCCCGCTGGGGCGGGCGGGCGGTGTCTGGGGCCGCTCTCACAGCGCGGGGCGGTGGGAGCCGGGACCGGGGGCCCCGGGCGGGGGGTGCGGGACCGGCCTCAGACCCCCGCGGGTCCCGGCGGGAGCTGCCGCGGTGCCGCGGGTACCACGCGATCCCTCAAAACAGCGATTTACTCCTAAATTGCTCTGCTCTTCCCCTGGGTTATCCATGCGCAGGGATGGTCGCGTACGAGGGGTAGGGGGCAAAAAGTGCGGGGTATCTGTCACCCAGTGGAAAATCACTGTAAAGGCTTCGTCTGCGGAGCTTAGGCTGAGCCCGGGTCAGGAAAATCCTCTTAGAAATATAGAGGTCAGCTAATGGGTTTCGTAGTTAGGGTTTGAAGCGGTGGAAGAAGGAAATGAAGGAATGGCCGGTGTACCCCGGAAAGGCAATATGAAATGGAAAATGTCTGGCTCTGGGAAGGGGACATACCCTCCACTCAAGCCTTTTTTTTAAATGGCCTTTCTCTTTGGCGACAGTTCTTCATGGCAGGAAAAAAAAAGCTAATGGAAGTGACTTAAATTGTGTCTTGCTTGAGTGGGTACCTCTTGGTGCATGAAGAGGAGGAGCAGGTATCTCTCACCAGCTTGCTGAACATGCTTTTGTCATTTACTGGGAAAATAGCAGGTTTTATGCTAAGCAGTTAAAGTAAGTTTTTTCAACCAGAGTTGGGATTGGTGTTGTCATTTTTTCGGAAATGGGATGCTCTTGTTTAGGGTTGATAGATTAAAAAAAGGTAGAAATAGGGAGGGATGGGAGATGAAATTCAAACCCACCTATTGAGCAACAGAATGTAAAGGAATTTAAGTCAAGAAACTGGGAAGATTAACCTTAATTTCACACACTAAGAAAGACTAGTTTCAAGTTTGGTAGCGCTGTTATTTATGTATATTGTTACGCTGAAGTGATTTCTTTAAAGTTTATAAAGAGCAATGCAGTTCTTTAGAAAACCACTAGAAAAATATATATCTTACAAAGCTCCCATGGGCTTGTATAGTTTGGAGTGAATGCTGGCGAGTTTTTTCCTGAAGTGTGAAGAATATCAGTATGGTAAATAATTACTGAAGGTTCAAAGCTCTTTAGTGTTCTGAGTAATTAATTGTTCAGGTACAAAATTGCACCATGTGTCACCCTTGCTTTGTTGCCATTTAAAAAACAGTGTGTTAAATGAAACTGTTCCAGTGCATCACTAGTGAAATAACTGTGAGTTCAACTAAGAAACCTGAATTTAAAGCTTACTGGTTTGATATGCTGTTATTCAGAGCTGTACAGGCAAAATAATAAAAGCCTCTAATGAAGACACAATTGCTCATTCATGTAATTGATGTCTTCAGAATAATCCTTTTATTCTTGAAGTCTTCTCTCAGCATTCTCCTGCTGAACTCTGTAAAATGATCTGATAAAATGGCTCCATATTTAGGACATCAGTGGAATATATAATAAACATTTTTGTTTATTGTGACATCTGTTGAAGTGTTAACTGCTGTAACCAGGCAGGTGAAAACATTAATTCAAGACTTTTTGAAGGAATTCAAGATCTGTTTTGCTTCTTTAGGAGCTACTGGGCTCCCTGCAGGAACCCAAGATAATGTTCAAGATCAGTTGAATTCTCTTAGTGTTTGATGGGGTTTTTCTGTGTGTGTGTGTGATAGGCCTTCCATGGCAGGCAGCACAGAAGTCTGTGATGGGAATTCTGCTGGGTGATAAACAGGTTGCTGGCCATGATGCTTTGAATGATGGTTCACATTTCTCTGATGGCTCCCATGAGCATATTTTTTTGGTTAACAAAAAGACTAAACAAGAACATAGAAAAAACCCCAAGACTGGACTTCAAGATAATGTTTTTTTGAAGCTCTTTGACTCTGTTCATGCACTAAGGAAAAATGTGTTAATAAGTCCTTCTTTGGAACGTTAAATGGTTCACTTTGTTGGGTGATGGAGTATAATGCATTGAGACAGGGAGACTGAAACAAACCTTTCAGTGGAAACAGTGGAGAGAGCTGAAAATAGACTGCAGAGTTCTCTCCCAGATCCGTGGGGAGCATTTGGTGAGGAGCTTATTGCATGATTATGGTCCTGAACAGTTAGAGTGGAAACAGGCTGAGGGAGTTGGGGCTGTTCCCCTGGAGAAGAGAAGGCTCCAGGGAGACCTTCCAGTGCCTAAAGGGGCTCCAAGAGAATCGGAGCAGGACTTTTCACGAGGGCCTGGAGCGATAGAACAAGGAGGGGTGGCTTTAAACAGTAAGAGGGCAGGGTTAGATTAGGTGTTAGGAAGGAATTGTTTGCTGTGAGAGTGGTGAGGCACTGGGACAGGGTTGCCCAGAGAAGTTGTAGATGCCCCATCCCTGGAAGCATCCCTGGAAGCATGGGGCCCTCAGCAACCTGATGTGGTGAGTGGCATCCCTGGCTGTGGCAGAGGGGTTGGAACTCAGGTGATCTTTAAGGTCCCTTCCAACCCAAACCATTGTTACTCTGTGATATCGCTGGAGCCATGAAGTGGAGATAAACTCCAGCTTTGGAGCAGGAGTATAAAATCCAGTGCAGGAGGAACTTCAAAAGAAGGGTTTGTTTTGGTTTTTAATCACTGAAAATGCAAAGAAACGACTTTTGGGTGAGGTCAACACGAGGCAGAAGCTGGAGAAAAAGTAGGTGTGCTAATGAGCTGCAGCAGAGGAAGATAAGAAATCCCTTCAGATAGAGTAGGAAGTGGTGACATGGAGGAAGGGCAGTGAGTGAGGGAGGGGCTACCTTGGGATTGCCAGGACTTGGGTGAAGGATGAGTCATGGTTTTGAAATTATTTTACAGTTTTAGACTTTCACATAAAATGATACCAAATGTGTTACTGCAGCTTGGTATGTTAAGCCACCAATGTCATGGCAGTACAGTGAGTTATCACAGTGCTGCAAGGTGGAAGGAGGTGTGTAAGAATTCTGTTAGCAAAAGGTGAGAGAAAGGCCATTCAGCTTTGTTCAGATAGTGACATGTGAAGAATCTCTATCAGTAACTGGACTTGCACAAGGGATGCTCTCTGGATGGACAGGAATGGGGACCACATCCACAGGGACATGAGTTTGGACGTGGTTTGGTCTTTCTGATGATTATTAAAAGAGGAAAGATTCAGACAAGAAACAGAACCTGGCATGGGCAGAGCTCCTGGGTTCAGGTTTGTTCAGGCAGCAGGTTTGGAGTTGTGCAGTTCCAGGTGTGGAAAGTTAAATACATTAAATGCAAATCTGGCAGCATGAAGTGAAGTCTCCATTCGTTGCTTTGTACTGCTTGGAATAATGCATTCAGAAAGTTCCTTCCATTAAAAAAAATAATTTGTGATCTAAAGCTTTACTAATCCATTATATCAGTCTTTCTAAAGCATTTGTATTAAATCAGCATTACTTCACACTGAATTTATTTCAGGTCCCCAGGGCTTTATTTGAAACTCACTTGTCCTTTTTTAACATTTTAACAGACCTTGCAACATGGGCGAGATGTAACACACATTCCTGTTTCCATTTCTGTGCTGAAAAGGAATATAACAGTTCAGAGAGGAATTGCTAATGTACCTGAAGTTCAGGAGGGTTGGCCTGAAAAACTTTTCTGATTTGAAGTATCTTTGAGTGATGGTGTGTGTAGGGTATAGACACTGAACTGAGGAAGTACTTCTCCAGATGAAGCTTATGTTTTAGGGTACTGCTTTATAGATGTCATGCCACTGGTCCAGGAAGAGAATTTAGACCTCATCTAGAAAAAAAATCCCCAATTATTAATTTACTGTTAGTATCTGCAGTCTTGTGAGATAAGTTCTGAAGTGTTGTGCTGAACAGCTGTTAACATGGTATTAAAAAAGACTGAGATACACACTGACACATGAGTTTATGTGTACATGTTATATGTATAATAAATGTATTGTATTATTTATATAAAAATAATTGTTCATATGTAAAGGAAATATATTTAAGCGTGTATATGAAGGTGTGTACCTATTATTGCTATACAAATAATACATAATACTTTAATAATATTATTTGTATAACAGTATTTATAGGACTAAAATCAACTATTTATACACATACACATATAGAAAAAAGCTTTGTTGACCAAAGCCAGCTGAAATGACCCTTGATGCAAAGGGATCTTTTTGCAAGGCAATGGAAGTAAAAATCAAGTCAGAGATAATAAACTGGAAGTTTACTGGGCCTTGTGTCTGAGATGTCCATTAGGCAGGGTTTATTTTCCATAAGCCATAGGTTATTTAATAGTCAAAGGAGTGACTGGTTGTACAGTGGAAGGAACAAACCTAAAGCTGCCCAAGCCCACAGGCAAGGTGGAAAAAGATGTTGATAAGAGTGCTCAAGGCTGCAAACAGATCAAGAGATGTGCATCACTGAGGTGGGATGGAAGTTTAGTTGCAAGGAGTACTAAATTGGATAGATAATAATTGGGCAAAGAAAGTTAATGATTTCCTGGCCTTTGGAGAGATTGAGGCATCAATGCCAATTGTTTAACTGGACAAAACTGGAGCAAAGTTATTGGATGGTTCCTATGTGCACGAGTCAGTTGGAGTATTTATATAAAAAGAATGGGACACAGTTTATTTTCTTTTTATTCTCCTTCTGTAAAACATCATAGCTTTCTATGCCACCATCAAAACAATAATGACAAAGTGATTGTATTTAGCAGTCTTTATTTCTGGGAAGTTTCTGTGTGTGCAGTGAGAACTCACCCAGGTAAAAACTCGCTGAGCGTTCAGTGCTACGTGTGAGTGACAAGTTTCAGTTTGCTTTTGATATGTGATATGTCTGAATCTAGAATGGCTTTGTAAATAAATAAAACCAAGATAAAGTTTCCTTATCCTTTGATAAGCAAGTCCTGTGCTCCTGCAGTTTAGACTTCACAGCTCCAGCAGTGCTGCAAAGATCCCTTTCCAGAATATCCAGTTTAAGCCACCATCAGTCCTTGCTTGAAAACTGTCATTTTTATGGCATTGGGGTGCCATGGTAGAGTCCAGGAAGTTAAATAATTAATCCAAATCAGCTCTGCTCCTTTCAGGATTTTGTTACTTTATGCCCTAGAAGTCAGCAGGGTTAATGAAATCATTTATACCAACTTCCTCTAAAAAGGCACATTGTTTTAAAAGTCATATATATGTTACATATTAGATATCCAATATTGCTCCCAACTGTAAGGAATTGATTTTTACTCCTTCTTGCTTCTGCTGGCAGGTGATTCCCTGGGGTTGAAGGTTCCAGCTCCAGGATCTCAGGAAGCTGCTGCAATGTCGTCGCCCGGCAGCGATTGCCCCCACTTGGAATCAGTTGGGGAGATAACAAAAGAGGAACTGATCCAGAAATCCCATGTGAGTTGTAGCCATGTGCTCTCTTCCTGTCACTATTAACTGCTCAGTTATTTAGGTGCATATTTTAGTGTATTTTTATTTATAAGACGCATTTAAGTGTTAAACGTGGGTAAAAACCTCTGCTGGAATAGTAAAGTTTCAACAAAGTATGGGCAGAATTATGGACTTGAGGAAGCTGAAAAACTGTTTTTAAGCACTTAACACTTAAAGAGGGCCTTTGCCAGCAGTTTTCCAAAGCAAGTGATGGAACATTAGTTAAAAGAGTTAGCATAGCACCAAGCTGAACTGTATTTTCATTGCCATTGTAGCACTTAGTTATTTGGAATATTAATGTAATATAGTACAACTGACTTGACTTCAAGTAGAAAATGTAACAAAGAAATTTATGCTTGAATTTACACAGATAACAGTTCTCTTTTTGATAGAGAAGACACAGTTGGAGAAAATGCCTCTACCTGAACTCTTGGTTTCGAGTTAGTATTAATAAATGGAACCAAAAAAGATCTTGTAACCCATTTTAATAGCTTAGTTTGACAGAAAAGTCAAACCTTTTCTGTCCATGGTGCTAAATTTCTTTATCTGAAAAATAACAGTTAATTTGCTGCTGAGGAGCACAGCATTTTTCTCATGTTGCATCTTTTTTGTGTAAACCTTTGCAGGTAGTGCCTGCAAGTAGAAATATGCAGTTATTCCCTGTTGTTCTATCACTTGCATCTATTTTTATGTTTATAGGAAAGACAAATTTTGAGGATTATTATAGTAGTGCCATATAATACAGGTTTATGCCTTATTTATAAGAGCAGTTTTTTGGTTTAAGATGAAAACCCAGAGAGAGAGATCCAAGCTTTTAGTAGAAAAATATGCTGATCTTGAGATTATTACGTGAAGCAAACAAAAAATTTAGGTTGGTTCTAACATATCCTTTTTTTTTTTTTTTTGTCTTCAAGTTGCTCATCTGATACTAAGCTTTATAGTTTTGTCTTGAAGTTGTGGTTTACTGGTGTAAGTAAGTGAAATAATACTTTGCTTTTGTGTTTGACTTCAACAGGGCACTTGCCAGGACTGTAAAGTCAGAGGACCCAACCTTTGGGCATGTTTAGAGGTAAGTTGGTTTTTTGTTCCATAGCAGGGTCCTTTTCTAGTAATCCATAACTAAAGTTCGTAGTATTTTTGTTTTAAGAACCATCTATAATGAAATTATTGAAATTAGTTTATTTAAATCATTATTTAAAAGCAAAACTTCTTCTCCAGTTCTTTATTTTTAAAATTTTTTACCCTCTACCAGGTACGTATTTCTTGTAATTTAAGAATAATGTGCTTAAAATGAGATTTTTTTTTTTAATAAGAAGTAGCTTCTTGAGTTATGATACTTAGCTTCTAAGTTTTGGAGGTTTTTTAAATTTTTTCCCTGGGTGTGTAGATTTAAAAAAATAATATTCCTGAATTAATTAAGTTACTTTTTATAAGCCTCTCTTAGCCTTTGTAGTAATAACATCAAGCAGTAAACACTGACCTTTAAAAGATTAATACATGCTCTGACTTTTTTATTCTTAAGCAACACAAAGACAAAAAACTTATTTTTGAACTTGTAGAAGTTGTAGAAGTTCATCCTTTGTCCAAATTTTGGACAGTCCTTACCCTGGATATAGTTCTGTCTTAACTCTGCTTTTGCCTTACTCTTCTTGCTGTCTTACAAAAAATGTCATTTTCACTGTATTGAAAAAAATCAAAAAACAAAAAACTCTGAGAATGCTGCTACTCGTTGATCTGTGATACCAACAGGAAAGCATATGGCTAATTTAGATTTTAAAAATGTCTCCAGTTCTTGGGACTTACAGCTCTTTCCAGAGGTGGAAATTTTACCCTGTAGCCTTGACTTCATTTCTTGGCAACTTTTCCTTAAGTACTGACAGTAAGAACTCCAGGCTAAGATGCCAACCTTTAGGTGTATGTATGAATATTTTTTAAAAATCCACGTCATTAGTGTCCTTTTAAGTGGATTATGGTAAAGAAATCAGATTATTTTGCTCCTTCTGTCAATAACAGAGACGAAGGCAGAAAGGAACAGAGTTAATATCTTTTGTTAGATGCCTTGAAGTTTAATTACATATAAAAACCCTCTTGGGAGCAGGAAGAGGTGTTCAGGGATGCATCAACCTGGCAGGTGGGGAAATGCCGTCAGGCTTAAAACCTGTTTTTCATTTCTCACATAGAGCTCTTAGGCCGTTATTGAAAAACTAAATTTCCTCCCAACATTTCCATAGGACAGGCTTGTAGTTACAGTAGGACACTCAGTGTCACACTGTCACATTGCTCCTCTGGGATGAATTGGCACCTTGTCTCCACCTTTGTCACTAGAAAACCCTGGTGAGACCCCAGCATGTAAAATGTTTGTAACTTAACAAATCCCTGTGGTTATTTAATACAGAAAATCGATGTGTTCAGCTGTTATTTCACTGTATAAATTAACCTGCTTGGAGAGTTGTCCAGATAACCTGCTGTGCCCTCCTGTGTGATTGTCCTGACTCGTGCACATGAGGGATTAATGAAAACTGCTTGAAGATTGGCAGCTGCAAGATTCCACCCTCAGCTCAGCCAAACGTGTTTTGCAATAAGCATGATTAAAATCAGCAGTTCTTTTGCATGTTATAACTAGAATGTAGTTTCTTAGCTGTGTAGTGCTGGAAGCTCTTATTTAAAGGTGAAGAAACTAATTAGTTGTGAAGTAATACTCTGATAAATAGGCACTGCAGATAGGGGCATGCAGGGATTTTTGTATAAATGTGTTGTGTTCTCAAGCTGTTGCCATTCAGTATTTTAGCATTTAGACCCTGGATTAACTTTGTATTTTCTGTAACAATCTTTACCAAATGGTGAATTGTAAAAATTACACGTTGACAGGAATGTGAATAAATATATAAAAATGACCAAAAAATACATTCCAAACACGTTACATGTCTAACACTGCCCAGCAGTGAGAGAAGTTGAGTTAAATCTTGCAGCATTCTTTTTTTGCTTTAGGTGATACTATACTTATTTTAATTCTTACTGTGCATGTCTCTTGGTTAGGACTGCAAGTTTGAAATTGGAGTGAATTTTGAAGGGACTGGCAGTATGTTCCTATTCTGTAAACCACTTTTTAATTCAGTGTACTTCTTCATATCTTGCTCAACAGAACAGATGCACCTACGTTGGCTGTGGTGAATCCCACGTGGATCACAGTACCACCCATTCCCAGGTATGTGCATTTGCAGCAGTGAAGTAAAGTTAGAGAACTTCTACTTTAGTGAAGTCAGTAACCTGTATTAACTAACTGTATGGAAGTTTGATCAGCTGTGTTTGATTTTCATCTGAGAGAAACAGGTCTTGCTAATTTAGGAGTATGTGAATTTATGAGTTGGAATTACATAAGACAATGCCTTAGATTCTGATTGTAGTGCTTGGTACTAAAAAGGAGCATTGAATAGTTGTGCTAAAATTTCAGTAATTGAATTGCTCTTTTAATTTTCTAACACACGTACCCCTCTCTTTGTGGAAAGACTAAAATTTTAATACATCTCTTCTAGCTTGCATGTGGTAGCATTTAATTATTCCAAATTTCCGAATCACAGTTTTGGTTTTTCTTCTGTTTTAGGAGACAAAACACTGTCTAACTGTCAACCTCACCACACTCCGTGTTTGGTGTTATGCCTGCAGTAAGGAGGTGTTCCTGGATAGAAAACTGGGATCTCATTCTCCACTGCCAAGTGCAAGATTGTCTCACCAAGCACAAGAAAACAGCGTGCAGGTATTTTTTAACCCAATGAAACAAAGGCAGCTGTAGCTTTGCAGTAAATATTGTGTTTTCTCTCAAGAGAGGGGCTGACTTTTCCTCCATTCTTGTGGCTGAACTTTTTTATGGAAATGGGAGAGAAATTAAAACAATTTCTTTAAAGAAACGTTGCCCAGCTTCTGTGTTCTGCCTCTGTGTCCTGAATGCTTTTTTCATCTTACTGTCTAATTGTTTGTAATCTACAATCAGCTGTAAGGTACAGAAATGGCACAGGGTTGAATTTAAGGTTACAAGATTACAGTAATTCACCTGTGTTTCCCTGTTCTGTCAGCTCCTGAAAATGCTCCAAATATGGGTGAAATATTGGTGTAGAATGACAAATGTATTGTGTTAGATTCACATGGGAAACCCATATCAAACTAGAAATTGTGAGAGTGCTGTCAGTGCTCTGTGGCAGTTGGGATTGCCAAGGAAAAAGTGTGGGCAGTATCTGGGAAGTTCATTTAGTTAAGTAAAACACAGCCTCAAGATTGGAGTGTTCTGTAGGATTATGGCATCAAAGACAAGACCTTGTAAAAGTGCTCAACTGTGCCTGACTCCACATTTATTAACAAATATCACGGTAACTGAAAAGTAAAATAATAAATAAAGCATTAGGTGGTATTGCAGACAAGTCAGGGGGAAAAAAAATGAGCAAAGCAGATGTTATACAGACAATTTTAAAATGTGCAGTTTCCACAAGGTTTGTTTAGATTTTGGTTGTTGTTTGGGTTTTGCTTGTCTTCTTGTGGTTGGGTTTGTCTTCACTGGCATCAGTGCTGTTCACTCTGATAATGTCTTTTCTAGATAAGTGTTGTCTTGGAGAAAGTTAGGTTGCAATTTCTTGCATGTATCTGAAAAAAAGTGTTATTTCTTTATTGCATATTTAATGTAGTCACATAAAATGACAGGTAACTTGGTTAAAATGGTCACAAGTAGAAGCACAGTATTTCTAAGTGTGTTTTGCTTGAGACACAGCAGTAGAAAAGAGACCACGATGCACAGGTTGGGCAGAAAGATGAGCAGTTTTTCAATGTATGTAAAAGGAAATATCCTTTAATATTTTCACTTCAAAGTTTAGTGTTTAATATGAACATAATCTGACCATTTTCTCATAAAATGCCAGCAGCTCAATTGGAATAGTGCCATTGGAATTTTTTTTAAATTTCTGTTGTCTGGTCACTTTGAATGAAGCTGAGTTCAGGCTTTTGAACTTCTGTTCTATTAACCTGCTTTAATCTTCCAAGGAAACAGGTATGATATACAGAAAAATAAGTAGAACTCACAAAGTCTATCAAACATTTTGTGTAGGGTTTTTTATTTATGTGCTTGTCATGCAATAAATGCCTTCCTGCCTAATGCTTTGTTTCTCTATTTGTAGATTTTTCTTCCCAGAGTTTAATTTGCCTTCATTAACTGTGGTGAGCCATCTGGTGGCACATCAAAACCACCTACACTGACTTTTGTGTGATGGCTCCTGTGTTGGCTCTTTGGTGCTGGCTCAGTTTTTCTGTCCAAGGGAAAGAAATTAAATCCCTGGCTTTGTTTTTTGTTATAAAATATTGCAGCATTGATCTGAAAACAAAAATCCTGGAGGGTCTCTTAGTAAACTTTCCTCAGGGTATCTGTGGACTCCTGGTGTTGTCCCTTCATGTGCAGTGAGATTTCAAAATGCATTCACACGATTTCTAAATTTGTTGGTAAAATTATACAGGAGCTTAATTAAGAGGAAAAGTGATAAATACAAGTAAAAATACTTTTTTTTTCTTTTTCTCCTTATAAGGATTTTAAAATACCTGGTAATCCCACACTGAAGATTCCACTAGCAGCTGTATTTGATGACTTAGATATAGAAGTGGAAGAGGATGAACTGAAGACTAGAGGTAATAAAAGCAAAATCCAGCCCTTTATTGCATGTGTATGTCTCCAGGTCTGTTCTCCAGCTATATACTAGTTCTCTTTTAAGTGGGGCTGTTTCCTTTTGTGCTCCAGCTAAGATCTTTATTTTTAGTTTCACCTTTCTTGCAGCAGTTTTTCCTTACCCTCAGAGCAGAGGCTGTGATGATAAATGTAGTGCACCCATGCAAGCAGCAACAAAAACAAGAAAACATTTTGGGGTCCTGGTTAAGTTAGTTGGATTCAATTCTAGCCACTCTGGTAAAAGTAGGTTTTTTATAATATCAATTCTGATGTTTTCACCTGCCCTAAAAGATTCCTGATTTGATGCTTTCCTGCATTTTGAGTAACCCTTTCTGTAGCCTGTAGTATCCTAGGATGGGGCTTTGCTTATTTGTTTTTCCTGTACATAATTGATTTAGTGCACTGTCAAACTTGATGATATCAAAGGTTGCCCCACCCTAATATTAAACTAGTGTAAAGATGAAAATGAGAGTGATGAAATCCCAAACAGTGAAGTCTTAATTTCTCATTTCTTAAGAGAACACAGTAATTATTATTTCTTAGAAGTTTCAAATTCTTAGTGATCACTCTACAAAGGATATATGTGTTTGATGGTAAAGAAAATATTTCTAAGCACCATTTTCTCAGAAATTCTGGCCAGCAGATTGTTGAGCTGTTGTTTTTGAGATGCCAGTGCATGTGTCAGGGCAGTTTGTTTTTCCTCAGTGATGATAAAAAACTTATTCTAATTTATGCATGGTTTTGACTGGGCAAGAGTTAATTTTCTTAGCAGTAGTTGCTCTGGGCCTGTGTTTGGATTTGTGCTGGAAACAGTGTTGATGATACAGGGATGTTTCAGGACCAGCAGGGCTTACACTCAGTGTTCCTCCCAGCACAGGGGCTGGGGGTACACAGGGAGCTGGGAGAGCTCTGAGTGACCACAGGGATATTCCACACCATATCCTGGGGGAAGGAGGAGGGAAGAGGGACTTTAAGGGTTAGGGTGCTTGTCTTCCCAAGTCACCACTACTGGGGATGGAGCCCTGCTGTCCTGGGGGCAGCTGAGCCCCTGCCTGCCCATGGGAAGTGCTGGATGCATCCCTTGTTCCATTCTGCTTCCATGGACAGCTCTTGCTGTCCCTGTTAAACTGGCTTTGTGTCAACCCATGAGCTTTCTCACTTTTACTCTTCCAACCCTCCCCCTGTGCCCCCATGAGTGATGTGAGGTTGAGTTTCTGGCTGTGGTTAAACCCCAGAGATGGGTCTGGTTTCTCCTTCACTCACCCACCCCCAGCTTTCCCTCTCCTCATTCTGCTGGCACTGGTCACACAACCTGCCTTGGCCCTTCTGTTGTCTGGCACAGCCTTTCTGGATGTGTCACCACCCCACTAATCAGCCATCTGCCCTTCAAACATTCAGCCATGTGCTTTATTCCTAGTTAGCTTCTCCAACCCATGGCTGTATTTATATAGCTCTGTATCTTGTCCTATTAATATTTGGGGGACTATAACTTTGTAGGAATAAAAGACAAGCAGAATAACAGACAGGCAGAATAACAGACAGGCAGAATAACAGACA